GGTGCCTCTGGTCTGCTGGGGACCGTCTCCAGCAGACCAGGGACACCGGGAGCAAAGCCGGGGAGGCGGAGGGGCGCTGGGGTATAAGACGAAAACCTATCTTTTAACTAAAAAATTAGGGGGTCGTCTTGTACGCCCAGTCACCTTATACGCCGGAAAATACGGTACCTTATGCACTAAACCAATGTTTCTCAAAATGGGGTGCCTCTGGTCTGCTGGGGACCGTCTCCAGCAGACCAGGGACACCGGGAGCAAAGCCGGGGAGGCGGAGGGGCGCTGGGGTATAAGACGAAAACCTATCTTTTAACTAAAAAATTAGGGGGTCGTCTTGTACGCCCAGTCACCTTATACGCCGGAAAATACGGTACCTTATGCACTAAACCAATGTTTCTCAAAATGGTCTGCGGACCCATTCTAAGAAAGCTGCTACCAGGCAGCTGCAGTTTGTTTACTTACTGGCTCTGCAGCCATGGAGCCTTGTGGCTCCCCTTGGCTGTGGTTCATCATTTTCAATCAAAGGAAGCCACAGGAAGCAGCATTCTGGGTCACGCTGCTTCCCACAGCTCCCCTCAGCTGCAAACAGTAAACCGCAGTCAAGGGGAGCCACAAGGCTCCATGGCTGAGGAGCCAGTAATAAACAAACTGGGGCTGCCCAGTAGCAGCTTTCTCAAAGTGAATCCATGGACCATTTTGAGAAACACTGCACTAAGCCATCCTTCTTACTTATGAATAATTGGCTGCGATTTGAATGAAATATTCTATTCATTTTATAGAATTATTTTTGACCTTACAAATAACCACATATGAATAGTTATAGTACAACTCTGGAAACTGATTTCAAACGTTCTCCTTCAAAATCTTTCCTCTCCCTCATCCTGATGTTTCTTCAAAATGAGAAAGGAAGTAAAAGGTGAATCTTCAGCCCAATATGACACTTGTTCTTCCTCTCCAGCTGACAAGAAAGTAGCTCGTTATGGATAGCTTGTTATCTTCAGGCTGTACTTCCTTTTCACAATCTTGTACAATTGACCAATTACGGAGAAAAATGTGTAACTGTCCTACAATGGAAGAACACGCTCACTGGTTCCCACTGTCATTTCCATGAGTCAGACTGCCAAATATTCTGAATATTCTGAGTATTCACTTTTTGTGTGACTCTACCTCATGGATTCCACCTTATGGAAAAGTCTTTGACTACTGTGGAACCATTCTGTGCCTGCTGCCAAAGGATAATTAACGTCTTTTCATAGTCAGATAGGATATATGGTGCCAGATTAGGTTTGTAAGACTGGAAAGGGGCATCAGCTTCCTTTACTGCACTGTTTTGCTCCTCCCTTCCAGCCTGATGGCTTTTCTGGGAATCCTGGTTTATTCATGCTGGGGGTTGTCGGGAAGAGTTGGAAGGGGCACAGCCTTAGGGATAAGCAAATAGGCTGGAAACAGAGGAAATTGTCTTTCTCTGGCCTTGTAAGGATTCTCCTGGGAAAATAACACTGCCCCAGACTATATTACCGCTTATGAATAGTGTTCTTTCTCCTTCCCAATAGATCCTGGTGACAGGCATAGCCAAGAGTCTCCCAACTGGAGTTGCACTATCAGAGAGCCTGGAAGCTGTGAGCTGTCAGAGGCCAGAGCTAGCAGAGAGGACAATGAATCTTAGTGTGGATGACCCTGCTCTCTCATGAATTTCAGAGAACTTACCAGGTTTGGTGAGCCACCTGCAGCCTATTATGCACACGAGAGGAAACCCCATTCTTCTTAGAAGCTAATATGGGGGATCTGTAGAAAAGAATCCATATAAACATTTCTTCCTCCAGAGCTCCTTTTCTATGCTCCATGGGTAAAGACGGTCCTGGCAAAGGTTAGACCTCTAGGGAGATCCAGATCTTTCACCTAGCTGGATGATTCATGATAGGTCACCAACATTGTGTCAGCTAATTGCTGGTCTGAGTAAAATTCAGCTACAAAATTCGATGTGTATTTCTACACATAAGTAATAAAATTGTGGTTTTTCTACATATAAACATGGAATGAATTATTTTAATAGTTTTAACAAGTTATTGCATTAAGCATACTGCAAAGATGTTTTCAAGCAACCAGCAGTGACAAGAAAATATGCAATATTAGGCTATACACACAGCTATTATTTTAAGCAAAGCCATAGGCGACAGAAAAAAATGAGGGAAACCGAACATAAAGACGTACAGAATCCTGACAATTTAGAAGATTAAAGAAATATAAAATTGTATTCCAAAATTACTTACCTTGAGATGTCATTTTATTAATTAACATTGACTGAAAAAGCAAAGATAATATTGAAAGCAGATGTTGACTAAATCCACAATGGGATTTAAGTTTACAACCTAAACTCACCATTTTTTTCAGCAGCCCTTATTCTGCTGATAATATAACTGTTGGGTTGCTTAGTCTTCCAGTTAATTGTTCCATTTATCCCTTCAGCAGAGCTTAACAAAAAAGCTTTTCAAAATAAAATAAATGCAAACAAAAAAGAATTAATGTCAGATTAACAGACTCCCACAGATCAAATGCCATCAGTTCGATCAAATTCTCTTAATGTCAGTTTTTGTTTTCAATTTTTCTTCAGAATGTAGAAACAGAAATAAATAAAACAGAGGATGCTAGTTTATATATCCCTCTGGCAGTCACCATTTTAGCATGCTATATCCAAATAAGGCCAGATCTACACTCAGCTTCTGCCAACCTACTATGTTAAACAGGCTGTAATGTTATGTGATGTATGACCAAGATAGCAATGCCAGCAAAACTGTGTAGTGCAAATGCAGTTATATTGAAAAACTACTTTTAGAAGCAGAGTTTGTTTTGCTCTGGTAATGGTAGGAGGTAGAAAAAAACAATGCTGATATAGAGTCATCTTTGCCAGTATGGTCTGCATCCAAATTATGAGTTCTTTGTCAGAATAATGTATTGCTATCATAGCAGTACTATACCTATACCAACCAGTAAAGTGCAATATAAACTAGCAAGAAGAGACTGAACAACAAGCTACTCTCAGTTCACACTATTATTACACAATTAATTGGTTAACAGCTTGCTGAAGACAAAGCAATTTTGATTTCCCCCAAAGTCTATGTGAATCATTACAGGACTACATGGCATCCACACCACATTCAGTGTCATTACATGTCATGTAATTTATTTTAAAATTCTCATTAAACAAATTCAAATATATTGTTCAATGGAGGATTATGCTGACACAAATAAAAGGAATTTTAAATATGAATGCTATATTTCAGAGTTGTTACTGTGACAGTTGATATACATGTGTGTTTGATTTAGTGTTTACCACAATATATTATTATTATTATTATTATTAGAATGTTTGTTTTTGGTCTAAATGTATGAAACACTCATCTTAAAATCAATGTAATTTCTACCAGCAAGGCCATTTAGTGACTGACAGCAAAATCAACTTTTTTACAAATGATATTTTCAAAAAAACAGCCCGTTAACTTACTAAGAAAAGGATGTCTTGAAGAAACTTACTGCGATGGGAAATAGGTTGGATACAATTAACCTTGCATTATCCACTTTGGGGACAAGTAGAAGCATTAACCTTTTGAAGTCAAACTGTTTTTGTTTGGTTTTTAAAAGTTATGTCAAGCTGTAGCTTTTTGCCTTGGAACTAAAGTGAGAATAGGGATGACTGATAATAAATGGGTTAATGGGGCTGAGCTGCACACATTAAATCTCCTTTTATTTAATTTAAAAAAAAAAACACCTTTTCTGGCATATGATTTTTTCTCCCTTCTCTCCAGCAGCTCAATCAACAGCAGAAACAGGATGGATGTGATAAGGGAAGGAGGGAATGGTAGATTATAGTCTCATCAGTATAGAACCAGAATGCAATCCAGGATGGGAGGAGCCGGGTGAACCACACTAAGATAAAGATGTGTTAATGTGCAATTCTACTTGTGCAGTTTTAAAATGTCATAGCTAATACATCCTAAAAGCATACATGTGTCCCAATCAGGACAAACTCCCAAAGCAGAGTTCTTTCCTCATCTTAGGAGCAGAACCAGAGCCTAAGTGGCGGAGAGCCAAGAAGAATGAGACAAGCTAGCCAGCCTCTCATTTCAATGAGGCAGCAAGTAAGGAGTTTGTAATAGGGATGTAATTGTGTAGTCGATTAACCAATAAACCGATAGGCAAAAGCTTATAGGTTAATGTTATAGATTACACGCATTTCCCTCCCTTCTCTTGCCAGTAAATTTTTTAGCAGGCTGGCCAGAAGCCTAGCTCAATGCTGGCTCATGCAAGGTCTGGGACCTACCCCTGCTGCGTCTCTGTATTTAAAGTATATTAGGAGCTGGGTGAGCAGGCAGCCCAGCTCAGTTCACTTCCAGCTCACATCAAGGCAGCAGTGCGGAGTGGAAGGGGGCTCCTCTGGAGTGTGGCCAGAGCACACTAGCTGCTGGCTCCGCTCCGGGGGACTATAAACTAGTCGACTAACCAATAAGAATTCGAGAGGTTACTTGACTATTAAATTAACCAATATTAACATCCCAAGTTTGTAACTAAGAAAGAAATTATAAAGGTATCTAAACAATGTGGAGGACAGTGAAAGAGGATGCTGTGACTAGATTCTCCATCCTTCCTTCTTTACTTTGTGCTATTTCAATAGTGCAAAAGGAAAAGAAACTGGTTAGCTCTTCCATGCAGGCATAAAAACCAGCAGTAGATTAGCCACTGGGCCAATGGGGCCCATGCCCAGTGGCTTCAGACAACTGAGTAAATCCTGGAAAAATGGGCACCCCCACACTCTGACCTACTCCGCTCACCCAATGCTCCTGCCAAGGAGCAAAGTCATGACATAGAGGTTTGTCCTGCTCCACTTGTCCACCTAGTGGGGAGTGGACTGGGGCACTCAAGAACTCACCCAGCACTCCTACTGTGTGAGTGGAGTCAGGGTGTGGGCAGAGAAGCCCCCACACTTCAACTCTGCTCCAAGGCAAGAGTGCCAGGCAGACTGGCCACAATAAACCTCACATCTCAATCCTATTTCCCCACTGGAGTGCCGGGGGGAGGGAGTGCAGGCAGTAGGGGTGAAGAGGGCCCTCTACATGCTCTGGTCCAGGGCCCCACAAACCCCTAAACCCCCAGTGATAAAAAAACAAATCTAACTGGCTCCTGCACACCACAGACATGGTCTTTGACATGGTCATAGGGAGGTCACCAGCTGATATATATGATATATATTTGGCACTATCACTGATACATATTACAGCAGCCCTTAGACTAGAAACAAGCAACAAATTTTCAGATTTTGAAGATGGTAATAAGTTCAAAGGACTAAATAAAGACACAGTAAACAAAAACAATGCATGTCAAGACACTGAAATTTGTGCATAATTAGTGTATTTTTTTAACAACTATTATTCTCATTTTGACACACTTGTAATTCCAAGTGTAAATCTTACACCCCTTAGTTAAGTATAAGGAAAATGGATGTTTCATAGGACTTGGGAATAAGATAAAAGCATTACACATCTACTTCATGTGTTCATCTCCAGTCAAGTTGGCGATGACCAAAAGTTGACAAAATCAGAAAGCTGTTCAGTGGCCAATAAATAGTAGTTTTACTAGTTGCAGTTTCTTGCATGTGGATGTTCAATTCATAGAACCATCACCATACATTTGGTAAGTTTCAGTAAAGAAGCCAATGACTAAATTAATATGGAACACATCATATTAAAGGCAGTACCTCCAGACCTTTCCTGAGCATATATTATTAAATTAAATCATATCTCCTTAAAAATGTTAAAACCTCAAGTGGGGCATGGTATATATCCTATCCACCCCCACTGGTATTTCAAATACCTTGCACATGTATATTCTATATAACACTATTGCATCCATCATAACTCAGCTGGGTTGTGCAAACAGGAAATCAGTTCAGTGGCTGAAGAATAGCTGCAGCTGGAACTCATGCGCCTATCAGACACAGCTGCTGTGTATAAATAAAGGATGACAGAAGACCACGTTAGAAGGAAAGACCTAAAGGCTGTGTTTTTAAGTTATTTTCACCAAATAGGAGGGTGCTGTTTTTGGAACTGACTTATACCTCAGCAAGGTAAGGCTGTTTATTTAGATTTTGTGGATAACCTAAAAAGAGAGAATGTAAAAGTTTATTTATTTTGTGACTTTGTACTACAGGTTGAACCTCTCTAGTCTGGCTAACTAAAATCATGCCAGACCACAGATGTTGCCAGATGTCTACTTATCATGGGTGTGGCCAAGTTTCCCATGGTCCCATAAAGTTTGTTTACAGCCACCAATCCCAGTGTTCTGTGTTAAATAGCTCTAATATACTCCTAAACTTCTTCTAAGAGGCTAGTAAGCAATGGAAGTGTTGGTAATACTACTAGATAATTCTGACATCCCATAGATCAGCAAATTCTCTAGTTCAACCCCAATCAGGTCCTGAGAGTGCTGGACTAGAGAGATTCAACCTGTTCCAGAAAGGGAAATCTTACTCTTTAATAAAAGAAAGTAAGAATTTCTGAAGTCTAATTACATACAAATAACTTTTAAATGTTCACTGTCAACTTGAAGTCTACCTAATTGTTAAAAAAGTTAGCCACTTTCAAGTACTACATCTGACACAGCTCCTACACAAGATATGTGATTATTATATTTTACTATTTCTGTAAATTATTTCTGTTCTCCCCAGTGCTATGTGAAAAATTGGCTACAACAAGCACAAGTTGACTATGTGGTAAATATTGTTAACTGTAAAAATACATTGAAAACTTATGAATCTTCAATTATCTTTTGCCTCAGAGCTCCCAGGAGGTTTTCCCCAATTCTAGTTACTGTGCCCTTTATCTAATGCTTTATCAGAAACCACTCAACTGCTTAAGGAGTCTGGGATGGGAGGAGAATACATATTTTACTGGAGTTTTAGTTTCTACATCTGCTTCTAAAAAAATTATTTCTTTCTATACTACAAAGATTACTACTTAATTTTCATGAAAGTAAATTGAAATAGAAACTTTGTCAAGTTATCCAACCGAGGGGAGGAGGAGTGGAAATCTAAAGGATAAAAAACAAATTCAAGGAAATGTTGCTGAGGACTTCTAAATATGTATACCAAGTTTTCTAATGTTCAGTCTGTATGCTTTCTTCAAATATCTGAGATTAAAAGAGTTGTGTAACTATATGATTAGAAACTGTAAATCCACCATTCAAGTATTCAGAATAGTTTGTACTTTTTTCCATTTAAATTATGAACATAAGAATGGCCGTACTGGGTCAGACCAAAGGTCCTTCTAGCCCAGTATCCTGTCTGCCGACAGTGGCCAGCACCAGGTGCCCCAGAGAGGGTGGACCGAAGACACGATCAAGCAATTTGTCTTCTGCCATCTCTCTCCAGCCTCTGACAAACAGAGGCCAAGAACACCATTTTATCCCCTGGCTAATAGCCTTTTATGGACCTAACCTCCATGACATTATTTAGCTTATCTTTAAACTCTGTTATAGTTCTAGCCTTCACAGCCTCCTCTGGCAAGGAGTTCCACAGGTTGACTATGCGCTGTGTAAGAAGAACTTTCTTTTATTAGTTTTAAACCTGCTACCCATTAATTTCATTTGGTGTCCTCTAGTTCTTCTATTTAGGGAACTAATAAATAACTTTTCTTTATCAGCCCTCTCCACACCACTCATGATTTTATAGACCTCTATCATATCCCCCCTCAGTCTCCTCTTCTCTAAACTGAAAAGTCCCAGTCGTTTTAACCTCTCCTCATATGGGACCCGTTCCAAACCCCTAATCATTTTAGTTGCCCTTTTCTGTGAACCCTTTCTAAGGCCAAAATATCTTTTTTGAGGTGAGGAGACCACAGCTGTACACAGTATTCAAGATGTGGGCGTACCATAGTTTTATACAGGGGCAGTAAAATATTCTGGGTCTTATTTTCTATCCCTTTCCTAATAATTTCTAGCATCCTATTTGCCTTTTTGCCCGCCGCTGCACACTGCGTGGAAGTTTTCAGAGAACTGTCCACGATAACTCCAAAATCTCTTTCCTGATTTGTCGTAGCCAAATTAGCCCCCATCATACTATACGTATAGTTGGGGTTATTTTTCCCGATGTGCATTACTTTACACTTATCCACATTAAATTTCATTTGCCATTTTGTTGCCCAATCACTCAGTTTGGTGAGATCTTCTTGGAGTCCCTCACAGTCTGCTTCTGTCTTGACTATCCTAAACAGTTTGGTATCATCTGCAAACTTTACTACCTCACTGCTTACCCCTTTCTCCAGATCATTTATGAATAAGTTGAAAAGGATTGGTCCCAGGACTGACCCTTGGGGGACACCACTAGTTACCCCTCTCCAATCTGAAAATTTACCATTTATTCCTACCCTTTGTTTCCTGTCTTTTAACCAGTTCTCAATCCAAGAAAGGACCTTCCCTCTTATCCCATGGCCATGTAATTTACACAAGAGCCTTTGGTGAGGGACCTTGTCAAAGGCTTTCTGAAAATCCAAGTATACTATATCTACTGGATCCCCCTTGTCCGCATGTTTGTTAACCCCTTCAAAGAACTCTAATAGATTAGTAAGACAGGATTTCCCTTTACAGAAACCATGTTGACTTTTGTCCAACAAATTATGTTCTTCTACATGCTTCACAATTTTATTCTTTACTATTGTTTCAACTAATTTGCCCGGTACTGAAGTTAGACTTACCGGTCTGTAATTGCCAGGATCGCCTCTAGAGCCCCTTTTAAATATTGGTGTCACGTTGGCTACCTTCCAGTCATTAGGTACAGAAGCTGATTTAAAGGATAGGTTACAAACCACAGATAATAGCTCAGCAATTTCCCATTTGAGTTCTTTTAGAACCCTTGGATGAATGCCATCCGGTCCCAGAGATTTGTTAACATTAAGTTTTTCTATTTGTTCCAAAACCTCCTCTAATGACACTTCAATCCGGGACAGTTCCTCAGATTCATCACCCACAAAGGACGGTGCAGATTCAGGAATCTCCCCAACATCCTCAGCCTTGAAGACTGAAGCAAAGAAATCATTTAGTTTCTCCGCAATGGTTTTATCGTCCTTGATTGCTCCTTTTATAGCTCGATCATCTAGGGGACCCACAGGTTTTTTTTTAGCAGGCTTCCTACTTCTA